GTAACCAGCCGACGCTCACGCCCTCGTCGCGACGCCTCGAGAGACTTTACGGGGGAGAGAAATCGAAGAAAAGCGGCCGAGAGACAAAACTGGATAAAGGGGAGCAACGGTGACGGAAAACGGGGTGCGAAAGAATATACACGCGACAGCGGAAAATGTTGCACCCGATATATATCTGTGCGTTCGGGAGAACCGTTTCTCTCAGCGTTTCCCTCAAATTAAATTCTTTCGCCCGGAGACCACGGGATTAAATACTGATGCAACTGTTTTCGCTCGAATTCGACGAGATCTTTCGGGACGGTAAAGTAACAATATCGTACGCGTAGATGATCGGCCATCGATCTCTGTGATAAAACGCGGAGCAGCAGCATTCGGCGAACGTTTGCTTCGTTAACTACTCGAATGCACGCGGGGACAATAGGGTAACATTCGTCAAGTGGAAGCCCGGCTTTAACGCGGTCTCTCCTCTCGGCTCCTCGTCGTCGTCGTGGCTATATACTCGGAGCCCCGCTATTCGAGGCGCGTTTTACTCGTCGGCATACCTAACTTCTCTATATATCTCTATACCCGTCTCCTCCTTTCCTTATTCAGGCTCGCTGCTCCCTCTCGGTCCCGCTTGCCCGAGATTTTTCTCGGCGATTAAAATTTATGCTCACTCGCGTTCCCGGTGCGTGCATATCGCGTTTCGTCTCGCGCGATGCTCGTTTTGCGCCGGGTTACGCACACGCCCAGCGCTGCACTCCCGAGGTGCGTTCGCCTGCTGCCCACCTATGATTATGTACGTACCTGAAATCGCCTCGACAGGATTCGTCACGGGAGACAACGGGATTTCGATTATTAAACGTAGCGGTGAACCCAGATAGCATCGCCGCGAAAACAAAGAATCCGAGGAGCGGCACTTTCACCGGGTCGCGGGTTCGACGGTATACGAAAGAAAACCGCATCGGACGATGGACAAAAGCTGTCTGCACCGGTGGAGTTTGGCATCTCTCAAAGAGACCACGACTACGACTAGCTTTTGATCGATTTGAGCGAAGGATTGCGGCCGGAACCGATTGGTATCGTCCCCGAGATCGAATAAGATTGGCATTAAAAGCAAAGGACGCGGTTATGCCTGACCCGGGCCAGTTTCAGCAGGAAATATTGATTTTTAATCTGGCCGGTTATACCGCACCTTTGTAACCGAGGAGGATGGATATTGCGTCGCCACGGGATGGATATCGAAAATTTAAATCGACTCGGGTCACAGAGAGACCCGTCGAGAGAAATATCATTTCAGATGGGAGAGACCGTGGAAATTTGAAACGCACGGAAAAAAGAGAGAGACCGTGATCGGTTCCCTCGGGATCTGGCTATAACTGTGCGAGGTTACCGCTTCGAAAATTCCTGCGGACGATGCCTCTCGACGACCGCGTGCAAAAGTTAAGTCGCGGTTTCATCGGGCGAGCCGTGCCTCTTTCGCGCTCGGTCAATGAGAGTAGCCTACATTCCGTGTGATCTTTTGCCCGCGCACACCTGGCGAAACCGTAAGAGTCCTTGTCGTTCGTTGCTTTCAACCGCTACGGCGATGTACGTAGAAAAAGCGGAAAGAAGTCTCTCGGTGGTAACTGGGATAGCTGATTCAATTTTGGAGCGAGTTCCCTCGACGATCACCTTTTTCCCTCGTCCATGTACACGTACCTTTCCTTCGACCGTCACAACGATTTCGAGAAAGGATGGAGATCGAAGAATTCGTAACCGGGATTTCGGAGCAAGTTCTATCGTCGATGAGCGCATAGTCATGGCCGACAGGCGTACGAAAGGACACGAACTCGGGTACGTAAGTACGTTCTCCCGTGAGAAGAGACAGCGGAGCACACGCAAGGAAACGCTCTAAAGCTAGAGGAGGTAGTAGTACGAGCGAGAGAGAATCATGCCGGCAGCACGCACCATGCACACGTCTCGCTTTCTCTTTCCGGCGTTCCACCGGCGGTCGCAGCCGTCTCCGTCGCTCCAGCGACCGGCAGGGGGCAAGTTCGAGAGTCGGTCCTCGTCGGATGCTGCCAGGCCTGGGTACCTGGACCCGGAGTAGTAGGCTGTACAGGTATGCACGCGGTGGGCTGGTCGGGCATTCCTGCGGCGTTGCCGCGTCTCTTACTCACTGTGGCCCCGTCAAGGATGAAAGAGACGAAGACCCAGAGGAACGAGGATAACAGGAACGGCGACGGCGACGACGACGACGACGACGACGACGGCGGTGGAGAGAATCAAGAGAAAGAAGAAGGAAGAAGAGCGCAGCCACCGTGGCTCGAACGAGTCTTTCTGCCTTTTCGTGGAGGCAATCGAGTTTGTTCGAGAGAGGATCTCGCCTCTCCCTGCGACTTCTCCCGCTCCCGTGCTCCAGAGCTCCCGTGGCCGGACCCCTGACCGCGACACATCGCCGCGACTACCGTCAACCATTCGCCTCGCTTTTTTTCTCGCTCCTCTTCCTGGTCGTCGCGCCACGCGTGAGGTAAACTCATTTTCGCGAAATTGCATTCGCGAAAGTCTCGGGGTCGGAGCACGCGAGAACCGAATTTGCGGGCGAAACGTTAGATTCCCGGTTTTTTCATCCCCGTCCCTGTGGTGACCGCGGTACGAGACGGGGAGGGACGAAGCGGAACCGAAATCGTATCGGCAGTTTCATCGAGCGTCGTTACGGTCCACGATTAAAGGGAAATCGAAAGGGACGGAGTAATCGAGCCCTAAGCGTGTCCACGGAGCGAACGAACCGTGGAGAGCACCGAGTGGCTCGGTCGCTCGTTTCTAGAAAGTAATCGAGTTTCGACCACGCTGCACGAGGGTCCGGTTCGACGGAGGATACCCAAAGATATCGAAATCGATTTTGCGTATCAACGAGCTCTCTTTACGTCGCGCGCGCCACGAATGGGAGAAAAGTTTTGCGGCTAGGCCCGTTCGAAAGAGAACGGATTCATCGAAGAGAATCGATGTTTACGAGCGCGCACTGTAACGCGAGTAGCCGACCTCTCGGGATCCGGTCGAAGAATGAAATTCAGAGATATAACGGGAGAAGTCGGGAAGAGAGGGAGACGGAGAGCGAAGTCGAGATGGCCAATAGGCAAGGGTAACGAGGAGAGTTCTCGGGTTTCGTGCAGGTCGAAGGAAACCGAGTTAGCAGTCTCCATTGCGCAGACACGGTCCACGGGGAAACGCGTATCCTTCGCAAGTTCCATTAAACGCGTTACGTACCGAGGAACTCCCCGAGGAACGCGGTACAAGCACGAGGGAAAGTTGCTGAATTTGAATCTAAATTGGAACCGTCGCTCCCTATCTTTAAAAGAAACCGACCTGAATTTTGAAGGAAACGTTTCGGGAGACAGAAATCGATGCGGCTATCTATTATTTCAATCTCGCGACCACAGCTATTCTTGAGATATTACGTATCGTCGAGATTAGCCGGGCTTTCCCGCAAGTTTACCGACTCGCGCGAATCGATATGCATTGATATGCACGTCTGGTACCGTCGAAGATGCGGGGAATCAAGCTTCTGCGAGAGGAACTTGCTGGATGTTAGCCGAGACTACATAGAACCCTCGAACGTACGCGACTTAATCGGTATTCTCCGTGGTAACCCGGTAGCGTCGATATTTGCCGAGAACTCGATCTCTGTGCCCTGTCGAATATTTACTCTCGCCCCGGGAAAACTCCAAGAATTTCTTCCGCGATCCGCGCGGCTTATTTAGGAAACGATGAGTCTTATCACGCGTATTCGAAATCTCGGAGTTCCCACCCCGTATAGGATTGTGATCTATAGATCGCGACTTTTCCCAGAAAATGCAACATTTATCAATGTCAATTTAGAAAACGAGATCGAGAGAGGAATTTCCATCACGCGTTTCATCGTCGATCTTTCGTACATCCTTGGACTTCTTAAAAGAGTCCGCGGTCTAGTGATCTATAACGACGGTAGAAATTTATTCAGGGGCTTTAGAGTTAGCCGGAACGTTTTCCATATTTATACCGAAAAAGAGAGGTCGCTGGCGCCCCCGGGGTTCCCAGGTTCCGCACCCCTTCATCCCTCGTCCGGGAATAACGATAATTTCGTAATGTGGGCCAATCTTCCGAATTGCGGGATCGTTCGAAGTTGCCGGTAGTTAGTGCCGCGGCATTAAAAGGGGATCATTTCGACGCGAAGGAGCACAGGAAGGAACCCGGTGGAGGGGCATGCATAGACTCCTCTCTTCGAAATTGACCGGCAAACTCAGCAGGGCCTGTTTACTCTACGTGAGCCGATTTCTAGATTAAGGGTCTTCTTTCGTTGCCTTTTTGGACGCTCGTAGATTCCGGTCACGAACATCGGTTACCATTTTGAAAAACCGAGCGAAGCAATTTCATCAAATTTTTAACGCGACCAGTCTCGAATTCAGAGCCGAGGAGCAGCGTCGTCTTTAGGATTTTTAGGATTGGATAAAATACATTCGACCAGCGCAAATGTTGATCGAGTCACCGAGAGAAATCGAAATCCATCGAGGGTAAAAATGAGAACCGAGGAAACTGACAATTATGCCGTCTATAGAACGACTCTCCGAGTCGTATCAGGGGACTCCTCTTTGCATCGCGATCGTTCCCCGTGTCTGCCGGGCGCAGGCATACAACTTAATCGATGCATCTAGCTAAGTATACAGAGGAAAGTAGCAATCGCAATGGCGTATCGTATCCCGAGGTGTTGTCCTAGACCAGACTATCATCTCGCTTTATGATCGGAGCAAAATGCAGCTACAGGTCGATTCGATCGTATAAAGATTTCGTCGCGACGGCCAAGACCAATCTTATCGTTCGCGTTCTATTCTATTTACATTATACCGAACGAAAAAATCGTTCGCATCGATCGAGTCTAGTCTCGATCGATGCGACTGTTGCGAGTTATTAATGGTTGCCGCGGTATCTAGCGAGGACACGCGGTTGAATCGAGCTGTAAAGAATGGTAGGGTCGGAGAAAGACGGAAAGAGAGCGCTCTCACCTTGTTCCGCGTGGGTCCCTCGCGGGCAGATCAGCAACAGCAGCAACGGCAGAAGGTGGGCAGCGGAAGCAGCAGCGGCGGCGCAGGTGGCTAGAAGGCCTGCTACGCCCGCCATATTGAAGGGGGCCATTCTTATCGCAGCAGCCCCACCGTGGGGCCGCCGGTCCTCTCACGATCTGTGCGAGGCTGCAGCTCCGGCAGCAGCGTCGTCACTCTCTCCTCCTCATGCCTCCTCCACGCTTCGTCTGCTCTTTCCGCACGTCACGCGACCACGACGTGCAACAACCACCCTCCTCGTTGCTGCCTCCTCCAGCTTCGAACCACCGCCACCCTCGTCCTCTTGCTCCTGCTCCAGGTCGCGCAACCCCTTCCGGATGCGACGCAACGCCGTCTCCCTCCCGAAAGTAGCTTTCGACCCTTTTATTCTCCGTCCACGAGCTTCTCGAAGAATACGATCGCCTCTACGCCATCAACGGCGATCGGGAGGCCAGTGTACTCGTTGAAAGCCGCTCCGACCAAACTCACCTACCACCCTCTCTCTTATTGTTCGCTCGGACTTTTTATCGGCCGCGGACTCGTTCTACGCCATCAGCGGCGATTAGGCCGGTCGTTGAAAGCTCGTCGCAGATTTGGCCGCGATTAGGCTCCGCGGAACTCGCAGACTTGGCTGCATCTACCGTCTGTGTAGCCGGAAGTGGTTCGGGTGTCGCCGTGCGACTTGCCAGAAACGCGTTCGATTTTTCTCCCCCGCGCGCCACCCTCTCGGTCGTTTCACCTACAAAGGGTTGCTTCTCTTAATGACGAGCCGAGATTCGTCGCATTTCCTCCGTCGCGGATCCTCCCGGCTCTCTCTCTCTCTCTCTGTCCCCCACCGGTTTCGTTTTTTTCCACCCGGCGACGACGACTGGATTCCTCTCGCGACTCCTCTCGTCTGAAAGAAACAAAGATGAACCGCATTAATTAAAATCCGCGAAATATCCCCCGTTCGAAAGCTTCCACCCTTTCGCCTTCTTCCCAATCCGAATAGAGACACCGGCGACTCTATTTCCATCCCCTTTTCGCGCTACTAATGACATCCCTAAATGGAAACAACGCTACGGTTTTTGGCGTCGTTCCACAGTGTTACGAGCGAACGATACGAAATTAGCTAAGATACCGTCTTAGCGAGGGAAATGAAACGTTAATTAGTTACATGTTCGTCAAAAAATTCGGTAATAACTTTATATATCCCAGCATCCCGGTTATACGAGGCTCTGCCTAACTTCGAATGGTCCACGGTACGAGTAAAAGTTTCCGAATTTATGAAGCGTGCTTTCGAACGGCCACCGGTACTACTCTGCTTTTTTACTGGTACACGGCGTACACAGAGTGCAAAGTTGAAGTGCAGTTTGGAAAGCGGGTAACGTTATAACGCGTAAAGAATACACCGCGCTCGTAAACTCCAGACTGACACACAATGCGAAATTCTTGGCTGCGTAAGAAACGAATAAAACCCTGTGTATACCTACGTACTGTATAAGAATGGTCTGGGAAAATCGAACGCCGGTAAAAGTTTTCGTCCCGAAGGTTAAGAACGACGCGGAGGTTCGATCGAGTTAAACCCCGAGGAGCTAGGAAAACTTGGGCGACGCTTTTCCCGTGGCTTTCCCGAGCGGTTTACTTTCATCGGACTCGCCGAAGCCAGTCTTTCACCCTCGCCCGAATAAACCTCGTGGCTCGTCCGACCGGGACCTCGTATACCGAGATTCATCGACCGGAAACGAGCTTCTTTTATAGCAAACCAACCACCGATCGCTCATCCGTGTACAGAGTTCATGAAAATCGACTGCACCAGCGAGAAAGTTACTGCATTAAATCTCTCGATTCGAAAATATTACGAGTAATGGTAAAAAGTGTGCAATAATCTGGACGGTGTCGGCGCACTTGTATAGTATCGTTTCTTGGAACTGACTCCAGCAAAGAATAAACGTCCAGTCGACCACTATATTTGTGATATTGGCTCAGACCTCGATCGGCCCGTTAACGGCAGGGATCGAGGATCGTTTGGCACCTGTACCGTTAAGCCCGATGACTGTGCAGGGATCACTGTTTCTTCGGATATTTCTCGGAGCGTGCCAAACGACAACGTGGTACGAGGCAGACACTCGGTTCTTTTATTTCCGCACACGCGTCACGCGTATCGGCTATAGGCTTTTTATCTCCTCGTGTTCGATCCTGTGATTAAGTCCGAGTCTTTTGTTCTCGATCGATTAGCGTTTTTCACACGAGAGCCGAGAGGGAGAGAGAGAGAGAGAGGTGGATAGAGAAATCCGCTTTGGGACACGGAAGGGAGGAGAAGCGCGTGGCGCGCATACGTGAGAGTTACTTCAAGTTCAAGGTCGACTCGCGTCGCGCACACACGTAGCCAGTGCACAAAGCGTGCATATCTCGGTGCGAATTCGCGTTACTCGGTGCACCAGTCATCCAGCCGAGTCTGAAAGGGGGAAATACCGAAAGCGAGAAGAAAGGGGAGTGGAAGAGAGACCGAACGCAACTTTGGGGTTGCTCCCGGTAGGGGTGTCAGCTAGGGTTTGGGAAGAGGAGCAAGGGGTTTCAGGATCAATACCACGCGTTTATCCGTCTCGCTCGTCCGAACCCTCGCCGGGCACACGCGGAAAGAGAGGGTGGGAGAAAAGGGACGCTCGTCTTCGTTCGATTCACGCGCAACGCTCGATCTCTCTTTCGCGCCGTCGTCGGCCGCAGGGTCTGTCCGGCGTCTCACTATTCTTCGGCGAAAAGGGACGAAGAACATGAGAAAAAGAGAAGCGAAAAGAAGGGGATGAAGGAGACGGCGAGAAAAGAGGAGAAAATAAATAGAGAGGGAGAGAGAGAGAAAGTGGTTCGTGTACGAGGGTTTCGAAGACGAAGAGAACGAGGAGGAGAACTAGAGGAAGCACGAAATTCTAGAGTACCAAAATATAGTAGAGTGGGAAGGTGGACCGAGGGAGAAGGAGGTGGAAGGCGCGCTTTAGGAGTTCTTCTAAAGCGGGCAAAGACCTTCCCAGCCTCATCCCCCCGCGCGTTCTCTCGTTCTAGCCAGTAGACCAGCCAAGATGCATCCGCGAAATTGCAGACTTCAGTGAAATGCTGCTGCTTCTGGTAGCCTCGCGCGCAGCGCCTCCTAGGTCTTCCAACGGCTCGGTGCTCGTCTTCTTCCGTTGCCATTGCTCTAGAGTGGCCTCGTAAAAAATTTAAGATGTCCTCTCCTCTCGCCTCCCGCGCGTTCTCTTCTCCTCGTCCTTCTCTCTCTCCGCTTTCGTCGACGTCCTCCGATGGTAGCGGTGTCGGTGGTCGACACGGACGGGGGCTAGAAATCCGGTAGTGCCTCTTTTCACCAGCCTCTCTCTTTCAACTTTTTGACAAGACCCAGTAGCAATTGCCGAAAACAGCGTCCGGGTCTCGAGAGAAACCGAGAGAAGACCGCTCGAGGAGTAGCCGGAGCCTGACAGAAGAGCCCGGAAGCTTTTTCACAGGGGGCCGAGTATCTAGCCTTTCCTTTGATAAGCCACGATTTCCCATTTTTCCTCCTCCTCTCCATCTTCCCATCTTTTTTTTTTCGTTAGCTTCCTTCGGAGCAGATGTAAACACGATGGAGAAGGATCGTCTGGGGGAGAGGAGGCGCGGGGCCGGCCACTTGGGAGGTGGTTGGCCACCTTCTTCAACGTGCAAAGGCCTCGCTCTTTTTTCTCTATTCTCTTCAGGAACGCAGAGACTTTCTTTCCGAGTGCCTGCCTGCTTACGATGGATCCCGCCAAATTGCAGATTTCGGCAGAGGCCCGGATCCCTCGAGAGGCTCGTGAAAATTTCAAGCCGTTCTCTAATAGTACTCGAACAGGTGCAACCGGAGACTACGCAACGCTCGCCGCTGCCTCTAACGAGCACTTCTTCCCGTCGACGACACGGCGACGAGCATTATAAAACGTCCTTTGAACCTTCTTTCCAGCGCACGAGACGTAACACCGGCATTTAAAATTTCAATCCGACCCGAAACCTCGTTTCGTTCCTCCCGCTCTTTCGGTCTCCGAAACGGCCGCCCGGCACCGCGAGGCGTCCGCTCCCTCGTAAAATACGGCGCGAATATTTTAACATCTCGATCCTCGAACGTAAATCAACCGGATTTGTTTTCGTATTCCTGCGAGAAAATTAAATTCGCCCGCCGTTCTTTCCGCCGCCGCCCCCCGTGTTCCTCCTTGGACCATGACGTTTCGGAAAACCGGAAGACTTCCTGCTTCGCGAATTCCCTCAATGAAACGCCGCTTTTTTTCTCCCGGCACACTACCGTCTCTTCTTCCTCGAGAGTTTCTTCCCACTCTCCTCTTTCCTCGCGCCATTGGCTTCCGTGACCGCCTCGAGACAAATTCTATTTCCGGTTGAATTTAAGACCCTCCGGAATATACGGATTTATTTCACGGCTATGCTGCTCCCGGAGAAGAACGAGGAGGCGAGCGAGCGAGCAAGGAGGGAGGACAGAAGCGTGTTGCCGAGAGGGTGAAGGGTTTCGCTTCGGAGACTCGTAAACGTAACAAAGGAAAGACGAGTATACTTCGGCCGAAGGAAAAAACGAAATATATAAGATAAGATAGGGGATGGAGGTTCCACGAAATTATTATACCTTCTGGTGATCACCACTCTGGAGTTCGCTTTCGTTTTCCCGAAACTGTACCGAGCGAAACCAGTATTTCTTTGCTCGCAACTTCTCTCTCTCGGTTTCGATGTCGCGAGACCGCAAAAGACGTCTGCGAGATAAATTCTATTTCCGATGAATTTAAGACGAGAGGGGGGGGGGAGAAGGGCGGAAGCTGAAAGGATCGCTTTGACAGAAAGAGAAGGCGGAAAGAGAACACCGGTCGTTAGATTTATTTTCCAAGGAATCAGCAGCGTCGTCCTCCTCGTCGGATTTTGCTGCTACGAATTTAAAAACAGCCCTTTGAATTTAGAACGTCCTCTCCCTCTTCGCATCTCTCTCAACCTCTCTCCCTCTCTCTCTCTCTCTCGGTTTTCTAAGAAGGAACAAGCGAGACGGGGGATAATAGAATTTTTTCGACGTCTAGCTGTGTAATTCGTATTCGCCGCAGCTTCCCCTCTTTTTTCAAGCGGCGCGGCACCGCCGTTAATTAAAAACAATAATGTTGGCTGGCACCCGCGTTTCGCGATCGCGTCAGCATATTTTTGTTTCCTCGCGAAAACACGCCACTCCAAGCCAATTGGCGTTACGAAAATACAGGGGTTACCGAGGGAAACCGCTCTGCTGGCTGCATGCTGCGCGCGATCCTCTAAAGGCCCATATCCACTTGTATCGTATCCTCGTATCACCGTTCCGCATCGACGTTGCACACGATAGACGTACTCAGGGACAATCATTTCGAATGAGGAGAGTCACTGATTCCATTAAAGGAACCTCAGAAAAAATGCATTTACTAAAGTGCAAGAGTGCATTCGTTGAACGAGCTCTATCGAATAAACAATTCGTGTCCAATGTTTTCTACTAAAAGATAAGAATAAAGCAATCATTTGATATGATACTTTGGTGTGATAAAAGTGCATATGCACCTTAACGAGAGAGCGCATCGTTCCGATGAACGAACCCTCGTAAATCACTCGGAGCGCATGCGGATCTACAATATTTGTAATGTTCGCAATGTTTACGCGATACACAAGCCGGACCGGCGTTTGTCCGCGCCGCCGGTCAAACATTTATAGGTCGCAAACTAATCAACGGAAACGCGGTATTTCCCATCGAAACTGTCCTTCGCGTTTTATTCCCCGGGGATAGTTTAAAGCGTTGCGTTAGCCTGTTAACATTTCATTGGATAATAATTACGAGCCGAGGAGAATGATGAGACTAGGTGTATCGAATATCTCACAGATACTCAATCATCCGATAAATCCATA